AGCTGCAGAGGCTGAAAGATTTATCTGATTAACAGGGCCAGCAACCGGAGATGTAGTAGAGGACTAGGGAAAGGGAATGTGAAATTTAAAAATGAGAAGTTGAATATGCGTCGTTTAAAGTGAACGAGCTATATATATTCATGATTAGGATAAGCTAAATCAGGAGAGCTAAATTTCACACAATACTGGGGCACTAGTGTCCATGGCATCCCATCCTATTTCGCTCCCTTATTTCTGTGCATAGTTTTAGTCTGTTAAAAATAGCATAATACATATAGCTATATTAAGTAGATTCCGAGATTACTAGTATATACTTAATAAGAGCTGTATTCACCCGAGATCGAATAAGGAGATGAAGGACTGATAGTTGACTCGTCCCAAAATTACATGAGCAGATGACGTTTTCATGTTTCCTTGCCAAAGATTCGAAATTCGAGCCCATTCTAGCCGAGAATATTATTTGGGAAGTAAAACTGGGAAATTCACTGTAAACTTTGGACGTACTCACAAAGCAGGTGTCAAAATTGAACTAACAGTTTACTTCATCACCTAAACTAACTTAGGGTGAATACAACTCTTATTATGGTAAAAGATTAATTATAGTAGTAATTTGACCTTGTTTTCGCATCTTAATCATATTGGCAAGAGGACCTAGAGGAACGCACCTTGTCCGGAGTCCATAGTATGCATGATAATTTCCAAAGTCAGACCGTAGACGTGGTACATTCCCAGATGTTTCGCCGGCATCGTCAGTGAGTCTTACCATGCTTAGCACCACACAACAATTCGTCAAAGAGACAAGTGAAGTAGAACCTTTGACCAATTGTAGGCTAAGCAGTTTTTGTATCTATCCTGTCCTAAGCTATTAACCTATCCTATATACCCATATGACCCATTCATTATCAAGATTTCTTAATTGCCTTTTAAAATTTGGTATGATATGCCCTTTGGAGCGAATTTCATGACACCCCTTCACATCCTCACCCCAGGCCTTATGCTGGGAATGTTGATCTGATCCTGCCATATAAGACCACAATTCTCTTCCCATATATTCTATCAATTTCCCTTTTGCCCCATAGGATCGATCCGTCTCTACTATTAACAAACTAGCTCTAATCTCCGCTTAATCTATCTTGCTTCTATCCATAATGCAAATTCCATGGCCTCCTATGACCTAGTCTTTTATGTGTCAATCCACTAATGCTGTTTTTACTTGTTTTGATGAGGTTCATTGTAGACGTCTCCTCTTGATCTATTATTGTTCCAACCTGGTCTCCTTACGATATTCTTTCCTAAAATTAAAGATGTTACTTTGATCCAGTCACCTTCCTTTTGTTGAGCTTCTTCGAGTTTGCTTAGGTAACATGAAAAATTTTCGCTGATCCGGACTTCTGCAAGTCTCCTATTGATGAAGTCTCTTTCAGTCAGGATATTGATGGTGTCTCGGATCTTGAGTTTTCTCGTATTTTCCCCATATGCAGTCAGTCTTTCGGTCGATTTAGTGTCCCGTCCGTGCAATATGATCAGCTATTTCAGATTTTTCCGTATCCAAGTTAATAAAGACTCTTGATTCCTTAGATAATAAATTGTGATATTTAAGAGGATACGTGAATAGCCCATAACAGGAGATATCAAACCTGCTAAGCACACATCTGGTCAAAGGATCGACTTCACTAAGTCTTCCTGTCAACATGACCAAGTTGCAAAAATAAGGTCAAACAACTACTATACAACGAAAAGATACCGTAAACATATAAAAGGCCACACCATTTTAGTCTTCATATCTTCCATAAAATTTTTAATTCGCTTTGGATACTTTTCTATAGTTTATATCGCCAATAAAATAAGAGTTTCCTGATAAGAACTATTTACCTTAAGTTGCTTGGGATGGTATATTTCCTGATAGCTGAGTTTCCGATAATGAATTCTGCTCAACAAATTCACTCTGCAAAGCTCACAAGGCAGAGAATCAGATTATATTTAAGTCCTCATTTATCATGTGACACTTGCATCAGGGGTTGTGCGACTGAATAGTAACGGTGTCACATGATGACCAAGACCTGGTTTCAAACCTTTATGAAATAATGATATTCAGTTTAAGTCGAAGCTTCTGTCGACTCTGGATGAAAAATTCATTTGATGAATAAGCTTAAGGGAAAATGATAATATTGAGGTCTTCACTACATTAGATTATCAAAAAACTCAAATGTCAAATTTTCTCGCATAGTATGGTGACTACTTCGTTTTTAACGTAAACTATCTCGTTATCCATCAGATTAAACCAGCTAAGTGACTAAAATTCCTAAAAACAATCAGTTGAGTGATTATAAACTTAGTCACCATGTCTAAAACAATTATCAACTTACTTGACTGATACAAGTTGGCAATGGAGCAGAGGTAAACGAAATTCGTTGTGTTTGGTGGATGGCAGCAGCTGCCGTTGTAGCTGCAGCTACAGCTGCGGCAGTGACCTGATTGCCTGAAGATGCATATGCTGTGAATAAGGATTGAGATAGTTGAGCCGTGGCTGGTGGAGACAGAACAAAATGGTCTAACAAGTCCAAGACAAATTGAATAGCATCAGAGTTGCCTTTTGAGACTTCATCCGCAAGATAAATGTCAACCTGTTAATAAAAGAACAAAAGAAAAGTTATCTGCTATCACAGGCTGAGGTTCACTCAATTTCTGAGGCAAAACTAATACTTAGTATAAATTTTAAACTAGCTTCTTCAAAATCAGTCTTTGGTGCCTATTATTTGATAATACTACGGGTAATAACAATAAATTTTGCTCTTTTATGTGAGAGTTCAAATACAAAATCCAATCAAGAAATAAATAATCCTAAATCAACACTGATAATAATATTCATAATAGCAATTCAACGAGCTATTAAATAGGTCAAAATGAATGGCAGATTGGATCAACAATCCCATAATGAAATATGATGAGTCTCGTTTTCATTGAAAGTCGCATCCCCGTTAAAAGCAACTAGTTTCTTTTACTGTGCAGCAAAGGGTAAATGCTCATGACCGGGAATCGAATCCTATTTCAATCTGCGACCTCCTCGTCAATAAAAAGTATAAGTGAAATCCAGTAGAAAAGTTATAGCAATTTTTTTTAATTTTGGAGCTTCCATAAATAACTTTGCCTGAACAAGGGTGATCAAAGTTTGTGTTTAATTGCCTAT